GCTCTCTTTCTCTCTCTCTCTATATATATATTAGGGGTGTCAGTTTTGTGTATACAACACCCCTAATATATATATATGAAGAGTTCAGATGCAAAAGCCTCTAAGTGCCATTTGAAATTTTCTTCTAAAATGATAATTTTTATCAAACTTGTATATTTAAGTTCAGTGATTTCACTTAAATGGCAATGAAGATTACCTATTAATTGTCATTTAAGTGAAATTACTGAACTTAAATATACAAGTTTGATAAAAATCATCATTAAAGAAGAAAATTTCAAATGGCACTTAGAGGCTTTTGCATCTGAACTCTTCATATATATATATATATATATATATATATACACACACACACACACATGCAAAGCCAAATTTTCAGCATCATTCAGGTCACATGATCCTTCAGAAATCATACTAGTATTTTGAATTGTTTCTCGAAAAACATTTGTTGAAAAATATGCTGCATAATATTTTTACATAAATAATTTTCCAGGATTCTTTGAACAAATTTCATAAGAACATCATTTATTTGCAATAGAAATATGTAACTTTCTAAATGTACGGTCACAATTAAATTTTTGATCAATTTAATGCATTCTTGCTGAAAGTATAGATTTCTTAAAGTCTTAGTGATACCAAAATTTTTTTTATTTTTTTATTTTTTAGATAAATAAAAATAAATAATTATTGCTAGAATATAAAAACATTTAAAAAAATGTAAACTATTAAAAAGGTTTTAAACGATGTAATAGTCCAGATATTTGGTAACAAACTTATTTAAATAAATTTAAAATAAAACTGCACATATTTAAGTTGAACCAACAATGAATGGAAGTCAAGTATTTAAATTTGAACAATCCTAGACCTAGATACTAGGGTACATGTTTGCCATGAGAATACCCATCTGAAGTGTGAAATTGCAATGTTATATGCAATTAACCATAATGCTGAGGTTGTGGAGTGGAGTTAAATAAAACGCAAAGAGTAAAAATGCATAAAGATTTCTGAATAGCTTTTCAAAGCTATTTGTGCGAAAGTCATAAAAGGTTCATAGAGATGATGTTCATTGTCAAGGCCATGGGGACTGAAGACAGATGAGTGATGAATAGAAATAATTCAAAATGCATCAATACGACATTCTCTCAATACTCTTTATTTTATATTATAGTATATGTGCACTTGTACTTAGTGTACAAACCTAAAAAACTACTGGGTAATATGGGTTAAGGTTGCGGTTATGGGTAGGTTCAGGTTTATTACCCAGTTATTGTAATTACTATAAGTACATGGGACTAACCTGCACGATAAAGTGGTACACCAAAAGAGGTTCAGTATCTTTTAAGTTGTTTGCTTATGAGATGAGCTGTCAATAATTCCCTATTAAGGGCAGGAATGTGTCAGTGTGCTAGAATACTCAAACTCATCTACGCAGCGTTTAAAATCCCACAGTGCAGCACATTGACAAAGAGCAGCCTTTGTCAGGAAACAGTGGTGTCATGTCATTTAGTTTCCCAGATCATTAGTTGATTGCTTCTCTCTCTGCCGAACTGCTATCTTCAGTGGTTCCTGAATGATAATATGATGAAATCAATTCAATTGTATTCTCTACCCTCCGGGAACGAGACCGGTGTGCAAAAAAAAAAAAAAAAAAAATGTCCCTGCTTAACCAAATCAACTGCAAATTGTGTCTGCCTAATGATGCCTTGTGGGAATGAAACTGCAGCCTCATGGGAGGATCTCATGATTACTTTCAAGAGTCAAAACTTTTCAACATCATCACAGTACTTTCTCTTATTTATTTTTTCGTCATGAAATCATCAGGATGCATCTCCACCACATGGTGTTTTCAACGCAGTCACGCTATGGATAATAATTTTCCCATTATGAAGAACATTAGTCTCAGTACCACACACACTTTCTCTCTTCATTTCATACACTCGAGCATGAGCCCAGATTCAACCGGCCTCCACAAATGCAGTTCCCGAAATGACCACATAGTGTCAGGAAATCTAACCCAGAAGTCTGCTTGTGCACATCTTTGGGGTTTTCTGATTTGATAACATCATAAGCGTTTTGAATAGCATTACTGGTCAGCGGTCACCAAACCGTGCTTTGTTGGGATAAAGTTGTTAAGCAAAGGGGGCTGTGGCCACCAGAGGGACACTAAAACTATAAACCATTTAAATTTTAGGATTGGGGTGCCTCCTATGAGGAGATTTGGGGGCTGTTGCATCTTAAAAGATTGAAAACCCCTAGTCTGTGTGGGCTATTGGTTCATACTAAACAATAGACTCGCATTTATTTATTGTAATACAAAAAGATGCTCTCCAGGGTGAACTTGACCTTCAGCCGCCACAGTCCCGAAACTCATTCAGGTCTGCCTCCATTCAGTTATGCAATCACCACTGAATGAACCGATCAATTCCAGCTGGACTTTAAGTTTCCACTCTTTATTTGGGCTCTCACAAACAGCTTTTAAGCAGTCCTGTTTTGAAGAACAACAGTCTACTGAATGCAACCAAACATCTTGGCATCATCATTTTTAATGGCGCTGTCTTTAGGTGATATATTAAACGCTTGTTTTCCATGACATATCTATATGTTATACCGCTGTTAGGCTTTCTCTCAGAGAGCAGTGGGGTGTGAAAGCCTCTCCGGATGCCTGACTGACTGTAAGCTCCGCTCACCTCGGCTCCCTCCCCGCGTGAAGAGGCTACCGAAGGGCATCTGTAGTAATAGGGTAATCTATTATAGGGCTCTCACTCGCTCTCTGGTTTCCCATTCCCGGTCCCCTGTCTCAGCACTTCGTCAGGACGAATGAGAGGAGGAGTTTAACTAAGCACATTACTGTGTGCCACTTGCATATCCCAGCACTTCCTCAATTAAACCCCCTCCAACATAATCTCCGTTATCCCATTTAGACACACACACACGAGCATTCCTGAAAATGCTTGACTTGCTGGTATGTCTCACAATTTTTTTTTTGTATAGGCCTACTTGGAAAATTTGTATAGGTTTCTGAGATACTAAGAATTGTGAATTATTTTGATACATGTTAGAACTAAAACATTGCTCCAATTTTTGCAGCAACTAGCCTTAAAGAACCATCTGAACAAACAATTTCATATTAAACAATGTTGCGATTTCCCAGCATGCATTGCAGATGGATTTATGATTGGCGTCGGCATGAAATGGAAGTCCCTGTTGTATTCCTTTTCTTCCCTATATTCAGCGGCGCCATCAAAGCGAGACTGAGGGATTGATCCGCTGTAAATAAAACGTTCTGATTATTAGACCTACTTAGGCGGGCCTATTCGATTTTTTTATTTTTATTTTTTTTGTCTACTGTAACTTCTTGGAAAGATATTTCGCAGTGTTTCGTCAGCAGAAGAATCCAAAAACACATTAAATAACAGAGATGTAGCCTATGTCTGTCCCTCACAGGCTCGCTTTTATTCCCGAATCCCGACCGTTAAAATTCTAAGATGGCGCTGATGTCAAAAGAGTGCCGTAGTTACGACGTCACTCTGCAGGCCAAAACGTGGAAGTGAGTTAGCATTTTAGCACTAGTGGTTCCCTTGCTCTAAGTCTATGTGATTTTTGAATGGGTTTTTGCTTAATCGCCTGAAATAAGGTCTGTGGTGAAGAAAGCCTCTAAATATTTTCACGTTTTGATCTGACATAAAACACACCAGTTATGACCTGCTTGCTTTTTAAACTTTATTGTGTCTGCTTGTGTTTTTAATTTTTTTATAGGCTTCAAAATGTATAATTTTTGGATTAACTTGTAAAGATTATCTTGATAGACAAAACGTGTGAGGGTCACTACTCTTTGTTAAACATAGATCTTATTTGTTGCGATTTTCCAAAAGTCTGTGGGGAAAATGCATAGCTTTTCGACCGAGGGAATGATAGCGTACGAGTTGTCCTACAAAGTGACGTCATCTCAGCTTCGCGAACAAGAAACAATGTAGGGCGGGACTTGATTTTGTCTATCGGGAACTGATTGGATCATTGGAGTTTTGTGAGGACCGCATGACCAGAGCCGTTGAAAAACGGCCTGCGCATGACAAACGCGCTATGGACGTCAGATGGAACATTCTTGCTTTGATTTGGCAGTAATTCAAGGGGGCGAACCATAAATATAACAGAGAGGGCGAAAGTTATTAGTCATTCCAATACCTCGACATTAAACTGGATGTTATTCAGGTAAGTTGCAAAACGTACCGTCTCTGCTTTAACTTTTTAAATGAGGCTAATTATTTGCAAACTTTTAACTTAGTTAGCTATAGGCTATAGGCCTAAAACACGTTTAAGTGCTGAATATTTGCTCTAACATAGATGTTTGATTTGTTTGGCAAATGTCTCTTCAAAGTGTGCTCGCCTCAGCATGATGTTGAAAGAGAAAACATACAATTTGCGGCATATTTTGTGTTATTAAAACCTTTGAGTATAATTCATTTATTTTCTTTTTAAATTAATTTTCAAAATGAATTTAATTCATTTACAAAAAGCAGGCTACAACGTTTCTTGCAACACTGTTTCAAGATGAAATATTAGGCTATATAGACAGGATTTTGTATTGGTAGCCTTTAGACCTACTTTTCTATTTGTCCAATTCTGTGCTAAAATGATAAAAAAAAAAAGAAAAACAGTCTTCTCCCTATAGCTAACAAAAGTTTTTCTAGTGACCACGCTTTTCAATCCTCTCAATGTCTCACTTTGAGAATATTTATGATTCTAGACCAGGAATGATGGAGAAGGAAAGTAGGACAAAGAGAGATCAAAAAGTAGACGATTAATCCAAATGTGATTTTCAGTTTCAGTTCAAGATCAGTTTCCCCTTCCCCCCTTTTTATTCAGTGGTCTTTCTCCCTTTATATTCCCAATCCTTCTTCCCATTCATCTGTCTCTTAGGGAATCTCAGAGATTTGGGTGGAGAGAGAGAGAGAGAGAGAGAGCTGACTTCTGAGTCTCAAATCAATGTCTCTTTTCCCTCTTCTCTCACTCGCTGCGATTTGCCGACATCATTGGGTAAGCTCTCTCTCTCTCTCTCTCTCTCTCTCTCTCGCTCTCTCTCTTCCACATTTATTCTGTCCACTGCTTGCATCAAGTCAGCTCTTGCTTTCCTCTCCTCTCCTTCACTCCACCAGGATATTTCCTCCTCCTCTCTCCATATCCGAACATATTCCTGTTTTTCTGCCCTGCTTTTCCTTCATATCTCCTGGAATGTGGCACTCTTTGGCTTTCACTCTCTGTGGGATCTCCGCTTTGATTCAGGGTAGGTTCCTCACAATGTTCAAATGTACATCTGAGTGTGTATGAAACAATTATTCAGGAAAGAGATGTAGACTTGAACGCAGATGCACATTTAAGAGAAAGCAGCTTATGATCTTGTTTTGTTTTTGGTTCTAGCTTACTGTATGTGTGCTCTGTAAACCGGTTTGCTTTTTGGCTACCTCGTGCCTCCAGATGTTTCAAGGTTTTTTCGTTTTTTTTTTTAACCACTGTTGCAGTCAATAGAGAGAGAGAAAGAGGGGGAATCAGATTCAACCAGAGGAAACAAGAAGGAGAATGAGACAAAATTGCTTTGGCATGAAGAATTAGAAGCTGCAATCATAAATTGCACCTTCTCTCCCCCTCCCGTCTTCTCTCTCTCTCTCTCTCTCTCTCTCATTCATTCCTCTAAATCCTTGAGTACATGAGACTGCATGTAGGTGACGGAGGCACAGTATGTATTTGTAGATTCAGTTCTCCAGCTGTTTTTATGGACATGTTGCTGCAGTGGAGTAGAAAGAGGGAGTGTGTGTATGTGTGTGTGTTGCCATGGAAAGCCTATCTCTATTTTAGCTTTCATTCTTTCCCTCTCTATTCACATGTCTGTCATAAAGCAGAACTTTTATTTGGGTTGTCAATCTCACACCATGTCATTTGGATTCATTTCATGTACATTCTCTTAATATGTAATTCTCTTCATCATTTTTTTAAATGTCACATCACAGAATATTCATGGATCTTCATGTTTTCACAGTAGCTGAAGATGAAGTGTTTTGATTGAAATTACGTTTCTGGGTATCGGATTCTGAGCTGACTTTAAAAAAAAATCGACTGAAGCTTTAAACCTTCACTTATCAGAAATGTAACTAGTATTCATTTTAGTAATGTTGCTTCTAAACGCACTGTAGACAAGGAAAAGAAATAAAAAGAAACTAAATTGTATGCAAAAGACAGAGTCTATGCATTTGAAAATGAATTTGAC